AAACTGCTGCACTCCTGAAAGCAAGCCAGGAGCAATCTGTTGCACTCTTGAACTGGAATCAGGAGCAATCCGAGCGGATAGAACAACTCCTAAAGCTGATAGACCCTTCAGTCACCCCAACGATGGCGGACTATTCAGCGCTTTCGTCGCGACTGCCGTGCTTCAGCTACGATCCGGACAGCGGGTGCGCCTTCGAAAGCTGGCTATCGAGATTCGAAGAAATCGTTCCAGCATCGATGCCAGAGAAGGACCGCTGCACCCTCCTGTCTGCGAAGCTGGATAACCAAGTTGAGAGGAAGGACAGCTGGCACTGAAGTCACCAATAGAGCTGTCATTCGAAGAGCTGACAAAAGTACTGACGTCGCTTTTTGGTGAAAGAGCGACGTTATTCCGACGTCGATGGAACTGTCTCCACATCGCGAAGGACTCTTCAGAAGATGTCGAATCGTACGCTGCTCGACTCAACAAGATGCTAGTTGATGCCAAAGCGGATGAAATAAAAGGAGATCCGCTAAAATGCTTGCTTTTCGTTATGGGATTGCAATCGCCGTGCGATATGCCAATTCGTACTCGACTACTGAGCAAGCTGGACGCCGAGATTGATACTTACAAGCTGCAGGACCTGATCGCCGATTACAGCGCTTATCAGTCCGTGCAGAAGGATGCTGCCCTCATTGGATTCGCACCGCCTGCGTCAGTCCAAACTGAAGTAGTCGCTCCCATCCGGAAGAAGAAGCAACGTCGAACACTGCCGCATCGTACCAGACGCTCATCTGATAGCAAGGATCCACCTGGACGTTTCCGCCGTGACGATGTCTGCTACACTTGTGGAAACAAAGGACACTGCGCCAGCAACTGCCCGTCAAGGAACCGACCTGTCCGCCGGTCCATGAAAAAAGTTGTTAAGTTGAACGTGCTGAACTCCCATCGTCGATACGTAAATGTCAAGCTGAATGACATGAATGTGAAGATGCAACTAGACACCGATGCTGACGTATCGACAATCAATCGCAGGACGTGGATAGAGTTAGGATCGCCGACCTTGGAGGCCCCGCCTGCCGAATTGACAGCTGCAAATGGATCGTTGATTGAAGTATTTGGAGTTCGTGAGATGCCGTTCACATGCAATGGTTTCGACGGCCAAGGATTATTTTACGTCACCAAGGACCTGTGTTTGCTAGGAATGGACATGCTGCAACAGCTGCCGCCCTTCCGAGATGCCCTCTCTGCTGTTTGCTGTGTTGTGGATGCCTCTTCACCACTGGACGACCGCCTCGCGGCTGAGCTCCTGGAAGTCTTCAAGGAGGAGCTGCGACACGGTAACAAGTTCAAGGCTCACCTAGTGCTGAAGAAGGATGCCACACCCGTCTATGTGCCGAAACGGAAGGTACCGTTCGCCCTAGAACCTCTCGTCGACGCAGAGTTGGATCGCCTTGTCGCCACAGGAGTACTATCACCCGTCGATTACTCGCAGTGGGCCGCTCCCATCGTTCCTGTCAAGAAGAAGAATGGAGCAGTACGCATCTGTGCGACTTTTCCACCGGACTGGACGAAGCATTGGAGCTGCACCGACATCCGCTACCAGTCGCGGAAGACGTCTTTACCAAGCTGAATGGGGGCACCGTCTTTACCAATATTGACCTGCGTGACGCCTATTTACAAGTAGAAATGGACGACGAGAGCAAGGAATTGCTGATCATCAACACATCCCGTGGACTCTTCCCCCGTTATAACCGACTACCGTTTGGTGTGAAGAGTGCCCCTGGGATCTTCCAGTCGTTGATGAGCAATATCACCGCTGACTTGGTGGAGCCGTCGCTTATCTGGACGATGTTGTGGTCACTGGAAGGACTCGTGAGGAGCACGATGCGAACGTCTTTAAGCTCTTCCAACGTCTTCAAGACTATGGAATGCGTGTTCGCCGTGGAAAGTGTCTGCTAAACCTAGCATAGTATTTCTCGGATTCATCGTCGATGCGGAAGGAAGACGCCCTGATCTTGAGAGAATTGCTGCTATCGCCCATATGCCGCCGCCCCAAGATGTGAAGCAGCTCGAATCTTACCTTGGGATGGTTTCGTTTTGCTCGTCTTTCGTGCCAAGGGTGCGTTCACTTCGCGGACCATTGGACGCCTTGAAGAAGAAAGACACACCGTTTATCTGGAGTAAGGAGTGTCAGGAAGCCTTCGCTCGCTTTCGCGATGTCTTGACCTCAGATCTTCTGCTGTTTCACTAAGACCCGAAGAAGCCGATCATCGCTGCCGCTGACGCAAGCAACTATGGAGTCGGAGCCGTGATTTCTCACCGCTACCCGGACGGATCGGAAAAGGTCGTTTGTCATGCAAGCCGCGCATTGACGGCACTAGAGAAGAACTAGTCGCAGATTGAGAAGGAGGGATTGGCCCTAGTTTTCGCCGTCAAGAAGTTTCACCGGTACATTTATGGACGAAGATTTACCCTGCTTATGGGCTACCGCCCTCTACTCACTATATTCGGGAGCAAGAAAGGAGTGCCGGCCTACACTGCCAACCGATTACAACGATGGTCGATGACACTACTTGCCTATGATTTCGACATCAAGTACTGCCCTACGACATCGTTTGGACAGGCCGATGCTCTTTCCCTACTGCTTTCCTGCCGGAGTGTGCCGGACGGAGACGTCATCATTGCTACTGTCGAAGCTGACGTCACCGCCACTTACGAGGAAGCACTCAACCAGCTGCCAGTTACCGTGGAAGACATACGTTCTGCTATGGAAAAGGACACCATGCTGATGGAGCTGCTTAATTGTCTCCAAACAGGACGTTGGCCAAATGCACTTCCAGGAACGCCGTTATTCAACTACAGGAGCCAGCAAAAGGAGCCATCCTTACAACGGATGCATATTCTTCGGATCTGTCGTTAACGTCGATTCGATTGATTGTCGATTCTTCGGCGTGTGGTTAACGTGTTAACCGCATTGGTTTCATCTCCAAAGAACTTTCTCACCCACATTTTGGCCGTTTTCTCACACAGACTTCATAAATTTCACCTTACTTGTATGAACTGACTTCGACTCGTGGTTTTGTGGTGGTCCATGTAGTGACACTCAATGTGAAACGAGGTAGTTAGAATTTTGAGAGCATATCTAAATCCATCATTCGCAATCGATATGAAATGAAATTCCCAGCAGGGAACAATAGAGGCTATCACTCTGTTATGAACAGGGTTGAGCGTGGGGTCAGGCGCGCCCGACCTGGGGGGTCGTACTGGGGTAAGACAGAGGGGGGGGGGTCGTGATCAGGAATCGAATTCGTTCGATTGAGGAGATACTACGATTAAGGTGAAGAAGAAAAGCGCTAGTTTAGTGGATATTGCGACCTCACCAGTACTGAAGGAATGAACGGTTTAAACAGCATACTGATTGATTTCACAATCGAAGTTTCGGCCAAAACTCAAATCTTCATCTTCTACCTTGACATATTATAAATTCATCAAGGAAGCTTGCTGTGTGAAATGGGTATCATTTCCGAGCACGTCAAATTACCTCTATGAGCCCTACAAACCATTATTTACTGCATTATCTAGTGTTTCTCAAGGACTAAAAAGCGTGATTTTCAAACATGATTAACTTGTTTTCAAAAGTGAGAAAAATCAATTTTTTTGTACTCGTAACAAAGTATTGTTCCCCACTAGTCTAGGCTAAAAATCGCGCTTTGTATCGCTTGCAAATAGTGGAGTAAGAAATAATGCCAAAATTCCGACCGGCGCGTTTTTCGCCATGACTGCTTTAACTCCACGGATTACCACAAGGCCGAAACAAGTCGAATCAAGTCCAAACACTTACTGTGGAATCTTCGAGGGTTGTGCTAGCGATTCACATAAAACTTGAATAAAAAAGCTTCTTCAATTATAAAGTTAATCGGGTCAGGCGCAACCCCACAAAAGGTCAGGCCGCCTGAGCTTTTGAGGGGTTGCGCCTGACCCGATCAACTTGTTTTCAAAGTCTAAAAATCGCTCCATTTCTGCTATGAGTATTGAACTCAAAGCCTCTTCTTGCAATACTGCAAATTTGGAGCCAAACAATACACCCCTGTGGGAATTATAGCTCTAAAAGTAGGGCTATCCAAAATCCAAAACTTGCCGTCAAGTTGCGTGTGCTGTGCAATCGCAGAAAGTCGACCTACAGACCTCCAAAAAACAAGAACTCCCAAAAACGGCTGATCTCTTCGAATTACCACAGCCTGAGGTCCTGGAGGTGAAGCAGAGGGGTCATTTAGGGGCTTTCACTGGGGGGGGGGGGGTCGTTTTGGAAAGACTTGTGCCTGTACCTCTTGCTCAACCCTGGTTATGAATATGAAAGTGACTTCTTCCATCTTAGACCAATTTGATCATACTGTAAAAATGACGCATTTCAAATGCTAAGATATACCGAAAATTGTAGCAGGAAGGTTTTAAAGCTCATAGACGTGAATTGAGCTGATTGCTGAAATTTCAACTCCACATGTAGGGGCTTTGGTAGCTTGCAGTAGCTACAAGGTAAGAAAAAAATAGTTTTGAATTTGCTGAAACTTGGATAGTGGACAATCTCTGCAGTAATCAGTGGACTGAAGGTTTCGAGGAGGGTACGAAATTTGTTGATTTAGCGCTTTTGTTCTTCATTTTACGTAGTACTTTCTCATCTTTAGACAACTTAGTTCTTGATTACGACCGTCACCCCCCCCCTCCAAGTCGGGCGCTTGATGTCACGCTTGACATATGATTTGCAAGAAGAAGATTTTTCAACACAGAAAGCCTGGAAAATTGACATGCAAAGTTGAAATGAGTGCCCCACCGCATATAGAGGGAGAAATACTGGAGCTTTCAGTGCCAATAACTTGCGAAGCTTTCACTTTCATCAAATATAAAAGATTATAAGTTTTAGTAATGTCGTTGTTATACAACCAAATTTTCAAAGATTCGAATTTTTTTAAAGAAGGAAATCGTTTTTGTTATCCTCCCTCAATGAACCCTTTTTAAAACATATCGCATATTTATTCACAACCGTAGAACACATAACTTAACATGATATGTACTCAACGTTCATACACTGATTAGTGAGATCCAGTTATGAAAGCCGAAGAATAAATTTTAAATAAAACTAAATAAAATTACTAGTAGAGATCCAACACGGCTAGGTTCTTCGGCCTTTGTTCAGCGGCATCTGAAAGTTGAGTGGTTGTCGGCATATCATGTAAGTTTACTTCAGTTAGTGTGCAGATTAGTCTAGACTGTATAAGTGAGCTCTCAAAGACGTTAGTGATGTCTATCCTACACTATGTACACACTCTCTGGCACCTCGAATGGATCTGCTGAGAACTCGTCCGTGTAGTCGATGATAGGCTGCGATCGTCGTTGTCGGAATCGTGGGATCATCAAGAGGACTTCGTCCTAAATTATACTTGATTTTCGAGGCTTGAGCAGAATAACCAGCTATCAAAAATAATTGGTACAACCAGTGACCGTATTCGTCAACGAACCCTCAGAGTAAACGTTACCCTAGGGGGGTAAGTTTTAGCTTCAGAAAGCATAAAACCCGTATTCACAAAGCACAGAGTAGGCTTCACGTCAAAGGTTAAAGGCTTGAGGGTAAAGCTTACTCCGGAAAGCGAGTAACTCGTATTCATGAATGTGGCTCATCAGGGTAAATTCAATCCTAGCATAGAGGAAGTTTAATTCAACCCTAACACTGTACAAGCATAAAGTGATTTCTCAATGTACCACTCAGTCTTAACGATACTGCTTTGACAACAAACACATATTCCTGTTTATCACTGTCTCAAATTTCCTGAATCTTCTTTTCGTCTCGTCTACATATTACAGAAACTAAGATAAAAGTTTTCAGCATTTTGTTGGTCAGCTTTAAGTGTACTAGTCGATAATTTGATCATGTATCAAATCATTTATTGAACGAGTTTATCGGTGGACTAAAAATGAAATGAGGGAGATACATCTTGCGAAGTTTTTTCTGAGTTGTTGAGCTTGATGTTGGCCATATCAAAGCCCTTAGTTGGTCGTGTACTTTAATCAGAACTAGATCTTTTATTGTAACAACTTGGCCGAATGTGTACCGAATGATAGCATTGAACGAAAACTTGAAAAAAGGCCATGGGAAGTTTGTGATAATAATGATTATAGATAGTTATGTGTTTGTTGTCAAAAGTATCACTAGGAGGGAGTGGTGCATTAAGAGATCATTTGATGTTTGTATGAAGTGTACAGTAAATCTACCTTGCTGTATGCTAGGGTTGAGCATACCTTGATGAGCCACTTTCGTAAATACGGGTCAATCGCTTTCTGGAGGAAGGTTTATTCTCAAGAGTAAGGTCTACCCTTACGGTTCGTTTATGAATACGGGTTAATCTCTTTTCGCGGTAAATCCTACTCTCAAGGGTTGATGAATATGGCGAATGAATCCTGAGAGTAAAACTTACCCTTGAGGGTAACTATCAACGAACCCTGAGGGTAAATCACCCTCAGGGTTCGTTGATGAATGCGGCAGATTATATTCATTGTTGAGTGCTCACTCTAGTACGAGTGACAATGAAACTGCGATAGCACTCTGAATACGTCACAGTGCGCGCGACTCAAGCGAGATTGAATGAGCAATGGAGACCGAAATAGGTGTCATCAATCGGGGAAATGTCATTACACGTCATTATTTTCAATGCAAAAGACACCTAGCTTTCGTACCACCAAGGGATTGTCTAGAAACTCTCTGGATCCCACCTCTGTCATGACTGCTACCGTTACTCTGTCAATCACTAGCAAGTGACAGAAAATCCTCCTTAGTATATTAGAGGGAGAGGAATTATTCTGATTTATGCTAATTTACGTAGCAAGAGAATGTCGAAACTAGGTCCGGCCAACCCAAGAACTGTATGTGGGATTTAGAGGTGATTTATCGTACACCCAGACTGGATGATGTTGCGTTCAACCAGATAGTTCGTGCATGAGAAAGACTGCAGACGGCAAAAGGGATGAATGAACCATCAGCGAGATACCGACAGGTTACGTAGACGCCCCGTCTCTGCGTGCGATAAATCGTTTATACTTAAATCATGGATGAAGTTCATTGAAAGGCAGCCAAGCGCTTGACGCAGTGTTATAAGATTTTAACCACAGGGAAAAATCACACATTCCAAAACCTGAAAAAGTATTAGCTTCCAACAGAGCATGCCCGCACTTCTATTTAAACGCTCATAACTCCTTTCAGATAGTATATGAAGCAGAGGTGTATCAGGTACACAGATGTCCGCTTCCTATCTTTTGTGAGCTAAATTTCGTTCAATAGAATTGCAACCACAAACCACTTCGTTTTTCCCCGCTCTCTGCTGTTACCCCATCAATCCAAAGCATAACCTCACCACACCCCGAAAAGTTCAATCTATAGAGAAAATAACTCACACTATCATCATACTGTGGTATTCGTCTGAGCATTGCAGGATACACTCGAGCGATCCGGAACGGTACTGCCATACATGCTGCGGCCAATAATGTTGCTATTAACAGTGTGTACAGTCGCATCTAAAATCTTCCCACCACTTGTAGAATGAGTAGGGACTGAACAGTACTTCAGCGTAGACAGTGGAAAGTACGACACAAGCAAAATTTCGGGAACCAACAAAATGAGGACACGTGTCAACGCAAAGATACGAAAGAGAATGTTGCATAAGAGCACATCAAATGATGTGCTATATAGCTCATATGACAGCAGCGATAGTACTCACTAAGCTTAGTATAGATTGCGAGCGGTGAAAAGATGCTAAATCCAGATATATGGCTTCAAAGCGCTAATTTTCGAAAAGGTCACCTGAAATCTGTTGGGAAACTTTGCGATGATGAGTGGGCCGCGAACTACGGCAGTGATTAGCAGAGTTTCTTTTCCTGAGACAGATATGGAGAATCACTGCACTTCACGCTTCACTGCAAATTGTAAAGCAAATTTAGCTGCTAGTCATTTTGCAGGTGTAAATGCGTATTCGACACACGAGTCGCGCCTCCTAATTTATTTTCTACTTTTCTGTCAGCACATTTATATCGTCACTTTTTTCGCAGTATCCAAAAAAAGATAATGCTATTCTGGAACTTCCTCTCATGACGAAATATTGCAAAAATGCAATACAAAAAGCAACTTCATTATATAAACTTCCTACGCATTCACCTAGAATATTATAATGTCTGATAGTAAAGAAACACGATTTAAATGCAGTTATGGAAATTCTTGGGATGTGACTTGAATAAATTTATAGAGTCCAAATTGAACGATCAAAAAGCAAGTGCTGTCTCATTTAGAGTAAACTTCGAGTCAGCTGTAGCAGACCCTATCCACTTTCAAGAAAACGTAGTTTTGATTACCGTCGGAGAAATGATTGGTCTCCATGCTAACAAGGAAGGGATACTCGGTGACCGTGGCCATTAGGAATGTGATGTATATTCTAAGATGCACCTCGAAATGCTGATTCTAAATCTGTGCTCGATATCTGCGAAACAATTTTCGTTATGAACTTTTTTTCGTAGAAAATTTGCGTACTTTTAGATAGTAAAAATCACCAAATTCATTCTAGTTTACCGTTTGAAGCTGTTGAAAGGAATTTTAGAAGGTTTACTGTTGTATTACACTTATTTAAGTCATATTCAGCATTTAAGAGGGAAAGAAAAATTTTTATCAATGATTTTGACTCTCCGCAGTAACGCAATTTATCAATGAAAAATAATCATAACTCCATCCAGATCATCGTTTCGCAGATATGGAAGACAGTTTTTGAACCAGCATTAAAAGGCGCATTTTTGATAGACAAGTCATTATGAATGGCCACGTTCACCAAGTATTCTTCCCTTGTAAGCAAACAATTCCACCTGCTGGTGAAAGTTTAGCTCAAGGCGCTATAATATGAGCTAGAAATTACAGCACTTGCTTCATACTAGGTTTGCAGGCATATATGTAGACCACAAGCACAGCGATGTAGTTCATGTTTTTATTCCTTCATATCTGCATCGTGAGCTATTTTTACTGTCATAAATTCCGCTTTTATTACAGGTAAGCAAACATAAATGTAGCATGGGGATACGAATATGATTACAGCAAGTGCTCAAGCCGAATGTGAGTCGCCCAATTAGATGCATACAAACAAAGGATTTTTAATCGCTTCTTTATGCTATTGACATCATCTATTAACATCATCATCATCTCGGAAAATTTTTAGTCATGCTTCCCAAGATTTTACTTACCAAAGTTTGACTCCAGCTACGCGTCAACAAAATATTCTTTTATGACGCTAAATTGAATTTTCAAAAAATTTCAAAAATAATTTACAAGTATGAACAAATTACTTGCAGATTTTATGACCTAAGTAAGTATCTTTCAAAATTTTCGCGGCGATCCATTTTCGTGGGGGCTTGGTACCGGAGTACCAGGGCTCGACATAGGTGGCTTGTAAGTTGAAATCGTTTTTGGGACAAAAAGCAAAGGGGCATTGAGAGTTTTTGAGAGAGAAAAGGCACAAAAATTGTTGTTTTTTGGTCGACTTTTGTTTTTGGAGAGTTTTTACGTTTAGGGTTTAGGGTCAAAGGGGACTTCGTAAAAGTTCGTGAAAGTTATAGGGACTTGGTTTTTTGCATTTTCCAAAAGCCACTTCACGCCGAGCCCTGCTCGTACGAATGTAGCCACCACTGCACATACATATATGAATCTGTAACGTACAAATTTTCATTGCGCCCAATAGGTTTGGGGGTTGATCTTTATTTCTCTTCGATCACGACCTTATCTTTCCATGCCTTCCGCAGACTTTTTGTGGTTATATTTTATAAGCAAGGTTTCATGTAAACACTTTAGAAATTGTGATGTTTATGTAAAAAGCAGCTCTATGAACTACGGTCCTATTGTCACAGAAATATCGCAAACACTTGAAAAAGTCACGATGACGTATCCAAGACGTAATTGTCATGCTTCAAATAGCATTAGAGCCTTTTCAATTCTTTTCTTTGATGAGTCTTACGTAGCAACACTTTTTTAAGTTGAAACTACGGTAATTGAAGTTGACTTATCGCACTGAAAGTGACCTTCATGAATGGACCAAACTCTGGTGAAATATTTTCGAAAACTCAAAGCATTCAAGAAACTTGTCAGAGTGAATCAAGCGACTCATTATTCATTTCTTTGACCTTGCCTGAAGTGACTGATTATCGGAGGACAATGACTATAATGAGTCAAACGTTCAGCAACAAAAAAGATAATAAAGGGGTTTTTCCAAATTTAAAGCTTTCGAAAAGAAATTAGCCCTATTTATTCATTACGAAAATTCTGTTGAAGCAAACACTATTCGAACACAAAGCCGCACGTGGAACAGTCCAATGAAGAATGACAAACGTGTGCCTGCGTATAATAAATTGAAATTTAATGGAGATAGATACAGCAAATGCGAGCATGCAGCAAGGAAATTACTGTGAATGAAGAAGTGTTCAATTTCAAAGTAATTGGAGTGGGATCCAAGTGACGTTTTGACTAATTTGAAGGGCTCAAAAAGAGCACGAGTTGGAATTATTGTGAAGTGGAAGCTATGACGCGAGTACTCGTATGGCTGTGATGCTTTGAATGGAAAAACGAAGCAGTCATGTGGAGAACAATAGACGAGCAAATATAGAAGATTACAGTCACCTTAATTAGCAAATCTGAAAAGGGTGCTCATTGAGATTCTATGGGTGTGCAAGAAAATAGCTGATGCGGAGTCCAAATGATATAGGTTTACGAGAATCATATGTATCATGTAGTCTCTTCAATCTTACAACAGAAATTTACAAAGTAGAAGAAATCTTCAACGAAAGTTTTGTCATTCAACGACTTTCTATTTTACCGCCAAATAATGATTTTTGCGTTAAGCACAGCTAGAAAGCAAGTGATTTTGTTGCCTCAAATATATTGCTTTATAAGTTCTTTCCGTTTTTTTCGACCTCATAAAAACACATGGAATGAAGACGAGCACACTGTTTAAAAACCATTCGATGAAGCTTTCTTTCCTCTCTTCAACGGTAATCTTTTTATACCATTTTTTCTGTGGTCGCTAAAATAGCCAATATTCCGAGTCCAAGGTTTTTGCCACGCTCGAGTTTGGCAATTTTTCAAAACTTTCGTTATTAGCTGAGGAGCTCTTTAAGCAGGTAGATATCGTAGACAAAGGGTTTACAAGAAATTTTCTGGGCATTTTCGATTAGCTGTCCAGTATTTAACAATAATTTTACAATGCAAATGAGCGTTCCAGCTTCGAGATATCGATTCGAAAATTGACCATAGGCTCTGCCGAAAATTCATGATTCGTGTGATTTCATCTCCAAAGTTCCATAAATCGGGAAGAAAAACGCCTAACAGAAATAAGAAAAGGGATTGAAGGAAACCCGAGCGCTTGTTGGTTGATGTTCTATAGGGATTAGCTTAACCAAATAGGGAATTTGACAACATTAGGATATGATTTTGGTAATTTTGAAAGCCAGCTAGAGGTACCTAAAATATTTATGGTGTTGCAATTTGTTTGCTCTAATCAGCCGTTAACAAAACTCTTCCAGAAGTTCAAAATAAAAAATGTGTTAAATTACCAAACTTGGACATGGTGGAAACCACAAGTTTGAAATTTCTGCAGTAAGCTTAGTAACTAAAAAAGCAAATGGTATCAAAGCGTGACTTCAGTAAGGAAGAGAAACTGCGCCGAATAATCTTTAACTCGTTTGCTCATCTTTATCCCATGTATTTTTATCATAGATCAAAAAAGCAGAAAGAACTGTCGGAACCACCTAATACTTCGGACCAGACGGATTTACTGAAAAAGGAGAAGTTTACACTTTTGCAATTTTTTTGCAAGACCTGTCAGACAACCAAATACTACACTTCATATTCAGAATCTCTGGTAACTACGTGTGGGCACGATATTACTGATGTGTAAGAAGTTCTCAATGATAATGCAATTTTTCAGGGCTGAATTGAAAAGTATTAGAAGTGATAGAGAGAGACTTGCAAGCAGTGATGTCTTGTCACTGAACATTTTATCAGACGTTGCCGGTCTTCTTGAACTTGTAGCAAGTGTAGGCTTGAAAGAGCTAATGAGGTTGAAAGTACTTGAGCATGATGCGTCAGATAAATTTGAACTATGTTTAACCTTTAAATCTAACACCACACCGCCAGCCGATCAAAGAAACGAAAAACAAGAATCAGCCGATCAAGCAACAGAAACCAAGAGAAGTCAAGTTTTTTAAAGACATCACATTGGTGCTAATCATTGCTCTTTATACGACTTTCACATTTCATGAAAACAGCAGCGAATTTTCCTGAGCCTTCCTTGCAAACCTCCATTCGGAATCCACACTGCAGAGAACAGGCAAGTACTTTCGATAGAGTTTCACACAGAGTTTTTTCGATTTTTGTTCTAGCAGACCGTTGAACAGAAGGACATAGGGTAATAAAAAAGAAAATGATGTGACTCCCTAGTGTACTGCATGACGTCAATTAAGCGTGCAAAAAGCACGCTTACTCTCAGCTATGCAAAAAGCAATTTGGAATGTGTGTAGTCGGTAATTCGCATTCGCGGTAGTGACATTTTCAATCAACGAAGACTAGTTTTGCACCTGTAAGCTTGGGGTCTTCGATCAAGCAAAATGATATGTGTGTTTATCCAAAAATCCTATG